GCGCCATGACATGAAGCAAACAAACACGTCTTTAGTGTCCAAATCATATACCTCAAGTGCCGACAAGGCACTCGGCGTTTATTTACATGCAAATCAGGCAGATGACCAAGTGTCACTGCTAGAGGCAATTACGTACTATACACCTGTGTTTACTCGTTACAATCGAATGCACTTTACATAATACTGGCGTGGGGAAATTGCCGTTTGGTCGCCATTGAATTTTATTTTATTTTATTATTTTTTTTTTGGGGGGGGGGGGCAAAATGAACATTTGTTATCCCTTTGATAGTCGCAATATTACTTATAGGTTGCGAGCATTCTGATTATGAAAAGTCTGCATAAACATAACTGCAGTTACTAGTAGTAGTATGGTTTATTTGTGTGCCGTAGTTAATTATCTCACCTTTTCCACTTTTGTGGGTGGATAACGGCTGGCACGGTAATTGCTCGCTGTGTTCGAACAGAAGCATCGTGTTTCACATTTTCCCATATGAACATATTGGTGTCTTAATTTTTAGTGCCGCAAAAACCATTTCGGATTTATTTTTGAATGGGTTGAATTCATGCCGCTTTAACTGTGGAATAAGTTCCTCAGTGACTGCATAAACAGAATGTTTTTTTTTATTCTCTTACAGTTCCCTATTGGACGTCGTGCCGGGTCCTGCTAGCCTTGATGGGTTTTATGTGCACGATCAACGTCTATGCCCTCCGTACAAACCTCAGTTTTGCCATAGTTTGCATGGTGAAGGAGAATATATCTGAAGAATACGGGCCGACTCTGAATGGGACCAACACGTCGGTACGGGGCGCTAGGTATGATGAAAATAATACTCTCGATGCTTCCATCAGATCAAGATGTGTATCGGTGGATGTTGGAGATTCAAGACGGTCGTACGTAAGTAGCAGATAAATATGAAATCAATGAAGCTTAAGATGCCAATAACTACGGTTTAATTGCCCCACGCGTCGTCCCAGCAGGGACACAGTGATTAAATCTCTAGGCTCAATTCAACCGGTCGAGAATCAACGCGTGGGGAGGCGTGTGAGCGGCGGAGAGACTATTACAAGATTAAGCGGTCTTCCTTTCATGCAGGTCGGCCATATTTAGGTCGCGGCCTTACTAGACCTCGGCTCTTCTCGATGTGAATGCTCCCTATCACACCAGTTCCATACCCGTAGAAGTTGTTAACACAGGGCATTTCTTCAAACGCAAAAATAAGAAGCATTTTGTTTAAAATTTATTTCCCAAATCCACGTGTGCAACTTAAAATGAAGAATAAAATTGGTATAGTTCAAAATATAACTCAATATCATTTCTTTCTTCCCTGCAACTATGCACTGAATTATCTTTATTTTCACAGTCATTCTTTTATAGAACTCTGTGGTTGAATATATTTTCGTTACTTTTCCTCTTTACATTGTGTGTCACAACTGTTACACATTTAACCTTCCATCTTTTTAAAATTTTATTACATAATATAAAATTGAACGGATCATCTTGTACGATAGGACAATTTTTTACAGATATCAACTTCTGAAATCTTTTTTTCTAGTATTTCCTGTAGAAGTTCCATGCAATATCTTCTACTAAAACTGCGTATGCTCTCGTCACAGATTGGTTATAAGCCAAATTATTTCATTCCATACTACACATGGCATTTTTTTTTATCAAAGTGATGCTTCCCGTTTCGTTCAAGACACTTACCAAGAGGAAACGATTAAGACTTTTTTTTTTTTGTCACAACAGCCTGGTTATTAAAAAGATTGCTAATTGATTCGAGTCGAAAAGAAACCATTTAAAGGCAAACATAAACTGAATGTGACTATATATTTCAACTCTTTTCTATTTATTTTAGGAGGGTGAATTTGACTGGGATAAAAGTCTACGAGGCACCATTTTGAGCTCGTTCTTCTATGGATACATCTGTACTCAGATCCTCGGCGGCTGGTTGGCGGGGAGATATGGCGGGAAACACGTGCTGGGCACCGCCATGGTGATTGTGTTAGCGATGACGGTTGTGACGCCGATTGCGGCCAGATCACACCCGTACCTCGTGATTGCTGTGCGGGTCCTGATGGGACTGGCAGATGTGAGTGACGTCAAATGTGGCTCCAACACCACGACGTAACTCACTGCTATTAACATCACGGAAATTAACATAAACGTTATCAAAATAAATATGAACAAAAGATGTAATTTCAGGAACAGGTTATATAGCTACATCTGCGTTTTCGATCAGGTTTATCTGTCTCCCTAAATTTATTAAAGACTTTCACTCAAAATTTACATACAAATGTAATTGATGGTCACTGGTATCAAACAAGATAAATCAACAAAACAGCCAAGGGGAATAATTATTACTTTTTTTTAGAATTTTTGGTGAGATTGTTTTTCAATCAGTTTAAGCACTAAGAAATCAGTAGCTCTCACTGCCAGATTTAAGATCTTTTGCAGGGGGTGGTGTTTCCTTCAATGCATACACTATGGGGCCAATGGGCGCCGCCATTGGAGCGGAGTAAACTGATGACATTCTGTTACTCAGGTATTTAGTCATATTGGCATTGCCAAATACATTGATTTACTTTGTGTTCGAACTTGGTCAAGGTTTGGCGAATCATCCGAGCAAACATAAAGACTGCGGTCGGTAAAAACAATGAAAACAGACAATAAATTACCTGTAATATTGCCAACCACCTTCATATCAACCGTTTATTCTTTTTGAGACAATTGTTTCTTCCTTTTTTTGGTTTATCAATATTACGGTCACAACTTTCATCTCCTTTTTCGTCAACTATTGTTTAGATTACATTACATGCCATTATTTTACATTTCGAAAAATAACATTGCATATAACACGAACGTGTATGAATTCACATTGAAGTCTCCGACTCTCCGAACTGAATATAAAAGCATTACATGTTAATTATTTCAGGTATATTTGTTGGCATAATCGTGGCCTTGTCGTTCTCTGGAGTACTGTGTGAGATACAGTTGGATGGAGGATGGCCATTTATCTTCTACGTTTACGGTGAGTGTCCTCTTGTCAGCCATTGTATTTGGTTCACGTGATATTGACTACTGCAGTAAAAGACCCACAGGGTTCATACTGCGGTGCGTTGGACCTAGCAAGGCGAGGTTGAGAGCCATAAGTGAGCTTTATTTTCGAAATAGGGCGATGTTTTAGATAAAAATTGCAAATATAAAACTAAAAATAATAAAAAAAAAACTTTCACTTGATTTTTGTCAGGTGCGACGTGTTTTCTGTGGCTTTGTTGCTGGCACATCTTTGTGTTTGACTCTCCTGCACGACATCCGCGAATTAGCCAATCAGAGAGGAGATACATAGAAAGGGCTATTGGACATCCTCCTGGAGAAAAGGTCAGATGCACTTTTAACTCCATCAATGAACACAGATTAAGTAAACCATTTCGATATATAATGAAAATGATAAACTTTAATCCATTTTCGTACAAAAACGCAGGTGAACACATATGGCATTTCTTAACATCTTGGTAAAAATAAATAAACCTAAATCATTCAGATTACTTAAATTGATTATTGCTACATGCGTACCATTTGAAGTTTTTAACAAATTTTACCGTTGGATTGTTTGATGTAACAGTTAGTGGGAGTGTGACACGTGACCCTCCTTAAGCGTCGATAAGAGACATAGTTTCTCATCCTTCAAAGATGTTAGACGTTTAAAGCAAGGCAAAGTCAAGGCATTTTCCTTCCCTATGTCCTGCATGCATGCATCATGGCGGAACTGATCTCGACTGTTGTTTTATCTACAGATATTACTATTTACTTCCACCCCTTAATAAACAATGCTGGATCTGCATTTGCAAAATTATATTTGGTCTTTCCAGAGAGTTGCCGTCCCTTGGCTGCAGTTTGCCAGATCTCCCGCCGTCTGGGCAATAGTCGTGGCTCATACTTGTAATAACTGGGGCCACTACACACTCATGACATCACTGCCTCTTTTTATGAAGGAAGTCTTGGCGTTTGACATAAAACAAGTAAGGCGTTGTAACATAAGTGGACTAAGTTAAGTGACATAAGCCCGATTCAGAATAGATGATCCGAGTACTATCTGATCCACCTCTACACGCGCCGTCGCAGCAGGGGCCTAGCAATTAAACCTCGGATCCAGGATTTAATCCGTTTAATGGCGCGTGTGGAGGCGGAAGAACCATCAGGAATCAGCGGCAAAACTTTTGAACTGTGGTCGGCCATATTTAGTCGGCGGATCAGTTAGTACTCGGATCATCTATTCTGCATGGGGCCTTATACTATGCCCAAAATTGTTTTTTTTTAAAGAGGAGCCTGCTTAACGTAAGTTTCCGTTCCAGAATGGCGTGTACTCTGCTCTGCCGTTTGCTGCCATGGCCGGTGGTGTGGTGCTGTGTGGACAGCTAGCTGATCAGCTGAGGCGGAGAGCCGTGCTGAGCACAACGTGGACCAGGAAACTGTTCCAGGCCGTTGGTGAGACAAATCACAGAAAGTCCTAGTGTTAAGACGGATGATAGATTATTGAGATGTCTTAGCAAAACATTTCGGTCGCGTTTAGATACATTTTGCTTAAAGGGATAACGACTCTTCGTATGAGATCTATATTTTGCACTAAATACATTGTAAACAACTTATAGAAGTATAATATATTCTTTTTTTCCACAAAAACGGAAGTTATAGCAATTATTCTGAAATCTTTGCTTGTCATCAGATCACGTGACCTCCAAAGATGGCTATACTCCGTAATAATCTCTTGATCTCTTAAGAGATTATTACAAAAAACAAACTTTTTAGAAAAACCAAGGGACTAACTTTGAATGTAAAAATGGTTTCTCGTTAATCATTTGTAAGAATGGGACAAAAAAAAAAAAAAAAAAAAAA